TCTTTTCAATCATAACTAAAATGTAAAGAAATAAGTATGAAGTATAAAATCGAAAAAAGTACAATAATAAGATTTCTTCTAATTTTCTTTTCTTTTAATATTTTTTTTATTTACAATTTAAAGATATACATCAAAAATTGTACGCTTGTACAAATCTCAGTATGTTGTCTGTTTGTTTGTATAATGATTGAGTTTTTATACATTTTTGGTGTCACTAGACTTATAAAATCTTCTTCCATTGTTTTTACCACATAAGCATGCGATCGACTGTAATACCTCTTTTTAAACCAATATGTTTTGCCTTTTCAACGACATACCATATTAATGAACTGTAAACATTTTTTAACTTCTTTATTTGTTTTAAAGATTCTTGCTGTTACCTTACACTAACTATATTATTAACTTTATTTAGGAACTTAATCTTAAAGTTTTTTTTTTGTGAGATCAGGGATATACAATATGAATTTGGTTTATTTGGTATTAAAAGTGGTCAATATCGGTTAACGTTTTCATTTGGACAGCGGGATACTATTTAAACACTCATGAAAATTTCTCTCACGTTTATAAATAACTTCCAAATGAAAATGATAAGAACCAAAACTTCTTAATTTTCAGGGCGTCCAATATATTAGTTTAAAAATTATGGTATTAAGGTATAATTCGACAAAAATGATATGTTCTACGTTCCATAAAAGGCCCTCTTACGGAAATTAGTCTGATGTTCATATTAATATTCATATGTGATAATAAAATGCAATAAGTAAATCGTGGTAAGAAATTACAAAGCGATCGATTCATAAAGACGTAAGTCCATATATATGATCACCTTGAAAATTCACTTTTATAGCGGATTTTGAAGATTCGGCTTAGCCTAATATTACACACTTCCTAGTTCTGTATTAAATTGAATCATATTACAGCAGCGCACAGTGGTAGCATTTCGAAAAAAAGGGAAATAAATTTGTTATTTCCTTGGTACGCATCCTAAGGATGCGAACTTAGCACTACACTTAGCCACAGCAACTGTCCTTTATATTAAGAGCGCCTGTGTGGCATATAATGCTCAGTAGCATCTATGTATACCCTATGCCAAGGCTGGGTAGATGGTGTATTTTCGGCAACATTTAGTTTTAAATATAGTTGAGAGTTCCTACTTTAAAGCTTCGATACAACAAGAATGAACGATGAATAAAGCCATTGGGGAGCGAATGCATGGCCAAGCTATATAAGGCTCGAAGGAAGTTGAAATAAGATGCTTCAGAAGAGTCAAGACTAGAATATTTGGCGGGTATATCGGACTCTTCTTTAATCTCTTCTTAGGCAATTTTAAACACCGGGAATAAACCCAAGAAAAATAAGAGATTCTCATTTGCCCATAACTTTTCAGATTTTAGTTTGTTTTCTTTTGAGTATAGCAATCTCAGTTTGTGGACTAGACCGTTTTTTTTAAATTTCAAAATAAAATTTTCAATATTTAGTATCATTGGAAAGGTAATTTAAAGCTGTGTCTAACCGTGTATTAAGTTTTGTAGAATATGACAATTTTACGTTTGTAAAATCGTGTGCCATTTCGGTTTCGGACGGTCCAGTTATATTAAAATATTTTGGGAAACATTTATTACCATTCTCAGATTCTTTCTTATTAGACTCTTTAACTCATTATTTAAACACGGTGATGTTATTGAGGCAAGTACTAAGTACTTACCATGTTCGCTTACAATAAGTGGTTTTTACATACAAATATATTTTTGTTTTCCTTTTTCTTTTAAACACAGTTGGTAAATGTGCGAACAAAAAGGCAAAGCCGAAAATATGTAAGTACTACTATTTCAGATTAAAAGTAAGTCATTACTAGAATCCTTAATAGTATTGCTTAATAGTTGTCATTGAAAAGTAAATTATTAAGAAAGTATAATACATTAACAGTTTTATGCTGGAATCGTACCTATCGTTTAGAAATTACAATTTTAATAATTTTATTCAAAATTCTCCCACTGTGCCGCATTGAAGAATTCTTCTATGCGGGTATACACATGTATAGGTGAACATGTAAGTAAGTAAACTTACGTAGTACATATAAACATCTTAAGTATTTTAAAAATCGCAACCATGACCAGTGAAATTATTTCACTTGTTTATTTATTTAGTTCGCTGTAAGTTTGTCTGTCTGTCTGCCTCTCTATCACATCAGACATATCAATTTCATCTTCATTTTTATTAGTTTCTGTTTCTATTTTATTAAATTAATATGATTTTTATTTCATTTTGTATCTCACTTAAACTTCAGGTGCTTCAATTATTATTTTTAATTTCTATTTTTTTTCGTTAAGAGTGGCGTCAATTATAACACCTTAATGATTTAGAGTTTTAAAATTACAAAAGAAAAGTTTTTTTGATATAAAAAGATTAATGTCAGTTATTTTTTGAATTGTATGAAAAAAAAATTAAGCCAAGTTTTATATGAAATACCGTTAAATATATTTAAGGTTCATATGTGGTACAATTTTATGGATTTTTTGTGGCAAATAATTGTTTAAAATTTTGAAAAAAATATAAGTATGTTTCTTGTTTCTTAAGTCTTTTGATTCCTAAGTGAAAATTTCACTTTTAGAGTTTTATTTTAACAAATACAAATTTTTGGTAATGAGATTTAAATTCAAAACTTAAAATCGATAATTTTACCTCCTAAGACGTCTGAAATTTCATTAATATCAGACTTATTTTCGGCATTCTCTCATCAGTATTTAGAGATAGAGTTTTCACCTCTTTTAGGACTTTTCCTCCATAATATGCTTAATTCTAGGGTCTTCTGAAATCCAATTAATTTTTACAAATTTTACATTCAATGCGAGACGATATGTAGGAGAACTATAGGCATGAAATGGGGTCTTAGTCCTATTATTAGAAATTGGCTTTATAAAAGTGTAATTAGACCAATTCTAGCTTATGCTTCAATAATCTGATGGACTGCTTTAGACAAAAAGTGCAATATCAACCTACTACAGAGAGTTCAGCATACATGCTGCTTGGGTATATAAGTGTTGCCATGTGTACTACTTCAACCAAGTCTCTGGAAACGTTGCTAGATATTCCACCCATTTAAACATATTTAAGATATGAGGCGGCGCTTACAGCCGAACGGCTCTTTACTTTAGGCGAACTGGCCAAAAGCGGTTATAGGACACGTCATCAATGTATACTGGACACATTGAAAGGTTATACACAATCATCGGACGTGCGTGATCGTATACCAGACACAGAATATGTCGGAGACTTTGAAACGCTGATCCCAAATAGAATGTCTTGGTCAAGCGGAACATTAGAACAAATACCAGTAGGAATCCGTTGTTACACGGATGGCTCTAAATTGGGGGATAGAGTGGGATTGGGGTTCTATATTGAAGACCCAGAAACAGAAATATACCATCGTTTACCAAATCACAACACAAGCTTCCAGGCAGAAGTACGCGCAATAACGGAATGCGTAAATTGGATTAGAATAAATATGGCGCCCACAGCGCTTAATATATTTACCGACAGCCAGAAGGCAATTAGGGCGATATCAAGTGATAGAACTAAATCTAAGACCGTATTGGATTGTAACAAAGCTTTAACTGAATACTCTACCAGAGGTAAGGTTCACATCATATGGGTACCAGCCCACTCGGGTGTAGTCGGTAACGAAAGGGCGAATGTAATAGCTTTAAAGTGTAGGGAGCTCGAGGCAGTTAACTAAAAATATGGGTAAGAGAATCCTATAAGGCCTCTTGGAATAATGATTCAGTGGGTAGAACCACGAAGATCCTATGTGGTGACCCTGATGAGAGCAAGACGAAAAATGTCCTCAAAATGAGCAAGCCTGAAGTTAGTATGATGGTACGTATTCTGAGTGAACACACAGGATTACGAACACATCTATGCAAAATTGGACGTGCGGATTCAGACGTATGTAGAGCATGTGGAGAGGATAGTGAAACTCTGGAGCACTTTTTTTGCCACTGCCAGGCATTCGTCGAAGTTAGATCCAAGTATCTTGGAAGTGATGTTATTCCGGAAATAACATTCCTGACTAACACTGATTGGAATATTCTTAGGAATTACGTTCAGAAAACGGAGTTTCTGAACACTGAAAAATAATTCATTCAGTTCCCTTTTTTTCATGATAAGGAGCGCACAACAGGCCCGATAGTGGCCTAGGTGTATTTCTTCGGATTTGATGTAGTATACATCCTCCTAACAACCTAACCTAACCTACATTCAATGCTTAATTTTTGACATAAGCTATAGTTTGTGCAGTTAACAATAACGAATTAAAATGTTTGTGCAGATAACAATAACAAATTAAAATGTGCATTGAGCACCCGTATTGGTATTGTACAACAAAGTACTTTTTTAATTTTCCAAATTTTGATGAATGACAAATTTTATTATGAATAAGTTTTTTAATATTTGTTAAATTACATAGTTTTGTTTGTCTGAAACATTTCATGAGATTTTAAATTTCAAGTATGTATGTGTCTTAAGTCTTTTATACAGATTTACAGTTTTAACACAAACGTACACACACAAGCAGACATAAACTATGCAAGTTTGTTTCTTAAGTCTTTCGTTTAAAAACGTGAAAAAATAACAAACGAAATTTCTAATAATCGAAACCGATCATTTATTCATAATCAACAACAAAAACAAAAATATGCAAATTACATCAACAACAGATGCCACCACAATCATGGCCAACAAAAAAAAAGCTCATTTGTCTTAAATTCAAAGTCATTGAAAAAAAGCTAAAAATTTCATCTAAAGACAACAAAAACAAAACCAATAAAGAGAAATAAATAAAAAAATAGTAAATACGAGTAGGCAAACTAAAAGAATTTCACCACACTTTCTTGTTTTTTTAACATTTCAATTTACCACTTCTTTCAGTGTTACGCCAGCTTATTGGCAGTTTCAACTGCCATTCCAGCTAACATTAACTCAAGTCAACAGTTTACAACGAACCGTGCTTGAGTTAACAACGTCTTTTTCCCCAAAACAACAAGTGGTAAGACAACGCGGCTAAAAGTTAAAAAAAAAAATTCAATAAAAGAGAATTGAAGAAAAAAAAATAAGTTGCGTGAAACGAACAACCGGCGGTTTTAAGTTACGACAACATAAAATAAAAGATAAGAAAGCAAAGAAGATAGAAACCAAAAAAAAAAGAAATGAAAAATTAACACCAACAAGTGTATAAAAAAGAGTAACTAGTGAATGAGAGAGTGTAAGTGCATAATACTTGTAATACTCATATCTGAGAGAGTGTAATTTAATACTTGATCAATAAAAGAAGAAAAAGTAAAAGAAAAAGAAGTAAAAATTACAATAAAAAAAGTGTTTAAGTGTTTGTGTACTAAACTTAAAAGTGTATTTGTTCACTATGAAAAGTGAATAAACAACAACTTAACTACTCTCTATATCTTTACCTGAATAAGTATCTATCTCCTTTATCTACTTGGAGCACTCTTTTTTTTGTTATATGAATAAGAGTGCTTACTTTTTTGTTGTTGTTTGTGTCTGTGTGTATGGAGTAAACGCAATAATAGTTACAACAAATACAACATCGCAATATTGGAGTGCATGAATGGCGTGGATTTATCAACTTTAAAACTGAAAATTGTACGTGTGTGTTTAACTTGAAATGAAAATATTTTAAAGTTATTTCAAAATACTATGGACTTACATACTTAAATATTTTTCTTTACGCTTACATACGAGGGCAGACAAAAAAATCTATTTGAAAGTAAAGGAAATTGCATAATTTAGTTTAATAGTTTAAGGGTATTATGAGTTCGGATTGATGTTTTGCTGAATTGTGTTTTCATATATTGATTTGAATATGAAAAACGGGATTATAGACCGAGCTCTACAGAATTTGAAAGAGTGATTAATTTTATAAAACAAATCATTTTTGATACATTTAATCTTAATTTAAAAAATTTTTTTGAGAATATACTTTAATAGAGGTTATATAGGTTACGATCGATTATGATCCGATCCTCATTAAATTTGATTTGAAGATTTTTAGTTGTCTTAAAACTTCTTTTTACGTATTTTATCTGAAGCAGAACTTATATGGGTTTTAAGGTCAAATATTCCAGGAGTTCACTTTTACATATTTGTTTAGGAGAAATCGTAGATCGATATTTTCAATACTAATTTAAACTTGGACCAGAGCTCTGAACTCGCCAATTGACCCAAGTCCCTAAATAAGTCGAATATGGGTTGTTTCCAAAGCTAGACAATGGTAGAGAAGATGTATTACCGTCTTCTTTTTATCCTCATTTTGACAACTTCTTTGGTTACTAAGAAGATAGGCGGTGGATCCATGCTGGGTCACATCGTTCTAGAGATCGAGCTATTTCACTTGACCAACGAATTTGAGCATTAGATTGACAAATTTCAATAATGTGTCTTTTTATGGCAGATAGTGGAACCCCACAGATTTGGACCACATCTAGTTCACTTACCATGGTTCCAGCTTTTGCCAAGGTATCAGCAATATTAGTGTCATATGTAGATCCGTCTTCTTTGACCCATATAAGGATAATGTTCGAATGTCTCGCCATCTCGTTCAGAAACGATGGGCATTCATGGACAAGTTTTGGTGTGGAGATAATACCAATCAGGGACTTAATACCCTGCTGGATATCCTATAGTATGTCAGCCAATTTGACGCCCTCTTGATCGCTGATATTGCAGCTTGGAGGATACTATAATCGTCATTGAGTATAAATGAGATTTTACTCACAAATTCTTCAATGAAGATGCCTTCACCAACTCCTTCCGTTGTCTTGGTTCCGTCTGTATACATAAGGAAGCAATTTGTAGGCAGAAGGACGGATTCTTGAGACTCTAAAGAGATGATATTGGTTCTGCCTCGAAAGAGACGGTTCCGGAATGCAGTAATCAACGACAGAGTATCAACAATTTTCGCATGACCCCTAAAACAAGTGTTGCCATTGGTGGGGGCCAGTTAATCATAGCAAGCAACGCCTTTGTTAGAGTTGTTCTCATAACACCGGTAATGAGAAGACGATCTAATAACATTTTCAAGATGTATGAGCTGTATGAGGCTTTTTCAATCGCGTACGACAACCCCATACAGCATTATTGGCTTAACCACAACCTCAAATAGGCATTTAACATTTTAGGGATTTTTACCCTAGTGCGTATTAATGACCTTTCTACGCACATAAAGAGCCCTTATAGCCTTTGAGGTTCATACTCCAAGATAATTTTTTATCTAAGATAACGCTCAGGTATTTCACGCTATCGGAAAGCGAAAAAGAAAAGGAAGGGATCTGGTATTTTACAGAGAATAACAGAAGTTCCGTTTTACCCGGGTTTATGCTGAGACTACATTCAAAGCTCCATGAGCTAAAGGCTTGTTCCAATCTTTGAGACATAGTCTCAAGGTGATTTCAAAGAGAGTGTAGTTTTACTAAAATACCGTTAATGGCCAATTTATGTATATAATAGAGGAGATAGTCCGCCTCCTTGAGGAGTACCTAGTACCGCTTATTTAGAGATACAATTATCCTATTTGTAAGTAAACTCTCCACAAAATAATATTATTGTCGTGTTTAACCATTGATTTTAAAACAAAACATCTTATTCTGATGGTTTTTGGTTTCATTTGCAATAAACAGTTTTTGATCTTCTGAATACTTGTAATTCTGATCAATTGCTAATTACTAAAAGATGCTATCTTAAATTAAAAAAAAAATAATTTTCAGTTTGCCCTCATATGTATACATATAGCTAATATAACAAAAAAAACTTTCTTTTTTATTTCTCCCTCTTTCTCTCTTACCTTTCATCTCTCTACTCTCTGTACCATTAACTACATACCAGGTCTTTTATAACTTTGCACCACTATTTATGCAAAAAAAGAAATAAATATGAAAAATTAAAGAAAAAAAAGTATGAAAAAAATCATGTGAATGGATTATGTTGTTTTTGTAAATTAAAAATATCTCCCCAGTTAAACTTATTGTTTAAACTGAAAAAAAACATGTAAAGTTTTTAAATTAGAAAAAAAAAAAAAATAAAACGAATAAAGAAAAATTAAGACTAGTGCAAAAAGAAGATGAAGACAAATATGAAAACTAAAGTGCATCCATTATTCATTGCATCTGAGTAAATTCTATTTGAAATTTAATTAAATTTTATACAATAACAATTTTGTGCTAAATATATTTTTTTTTATTTTAGAATATAAATCAAAGCAACTGAGAAAAAACTAAGAATTTTTATGGAAAAAAAAAAAATCAAATATTAACATGTGTGCTAGTGTCTTTATGCATTTAAATTTGCTTTAAAATGAGGTTACATTTTTATTTAAAATTCAGTTTTTATATTTAATTTATCAGCTGGTGATAACTTTGTAATTAAATAATAAATATTTATTTTTTTCACAAAACAGTTAATTTTATAAATATTTATAATTAAAAATTCTTGATTTTTCTTAAAATACACTTTGTTTTGTCATATTCTAATCAAAATATTTTGTGATGTTAATTTGTGGGCTTTACTTTTATAATTTTTTATGTACCAGAAAATCTAAAAAAGTATAATATTATAGAATTTTTTCTAATTAAAAAAACTCGATTAATTTATATTAAAAAATTAAATTTTTAACTTTCTGATCCACCCTACTCTGGTTTTTTTTTTGTTAAAAACGGATTATATTACACAGGCCAACAAATTTTTAATCCAGTGACCAATGTATACATTTCTACAGGATTGAGCCTATCTCCATCGCATCTGGAATTTGAGATATCGTGCCCTAAATTTTGAAAATACGCCATTTTTGGCCCAAGACAACTTTAGTTATAAAATGTTGTATGCCATCTGAAAGTCCATTCTATCAGATTTAAAATAGGGCCTTAAGGTTTGACATATCTTTTCTCTTTATCAAGTTATCCTCGCATATAATAAATTAACAAAAGCTGTATTTTCTCGTACATTTCGCATACATATACATAATTTTACCAAAAAATGTTATACATTCCAACTTTTCAAAATTTTTCGTATGAAATTACTTTTTGAATTGTTTAAAAATCTGTTGTATTTTCCGTCCATCAACTTCAACGATTGGAGCATCTTTTGATAGGTGTGGATCCAATATTTATGTTTGTTATAAACAATACTTACAAAGCATAATATCTTTCGCACTATAGAAGTGCAGGATATAAATACCATAGTATAACGCAAACCATGAGTTTTCAGGATATTGATGAAGATATCTAGAAGAATAAAGAAGATATGTCAGACGTTAGGACTTTATTTTAAAGTTGAACAGAATGGACTTTTAGTTGGCATACTACATTTTAAAAATGAAGTTGTCTTGGGACTGTTATAACGTCTCAAAAAGAGCCAAAAATGGCGTTTTTCAAAGTTTATGACTCGATATCTCAAATTCCAGATGTGATGGAGAAAATCTGTTTCGGATTTAGCACGGCTCAATCATTTAGAAACGTCTAACTTAGTCTCAAGGTTTCGACGTTTTTCATATATACGTACATTCACTCCTTGAGGGAATTCCAATTATCTCGATATCCCGCTCGATGCTTGATTTCGTTCCACTTCATCAAAAGTTATGTTTTAAGTTTCCGCTTCCAAGTATACACTGGTCTTCCGTCTGATTCCCTGCTGATTACAATCTAGGCATTTCTTGGCAATATTATCGTCTGGTTTATGGAGGTTGTAACCTATGTATGTATTTCTGTTTACTTATTTCCGTTCTAATAATCTGCTAGTTTGTCTCCGTCTAGAGTCGGTTGTTGGATATTGGTAAACACCAGAAGGAATTTATTGAGAAATACCTGAAGACATTGTATGTCATGTTCCAAGTCTCGCATCCATATAACAGAATAGATTTTATGTTGTAATTAAATAATTCAATTTTCATTTGTTTCGAAATATTAGAAGATTTTCAAACCGGTTTTACCGTGGTAAATGCGTACCCTCAATATTTTGATCGCATACGCATAGTTTTTTATTACTATTGAATCTTTAAAAATTAGTGATATAGAAGACATACATATGTATCGGCATAATCTAGATACTCCAACCGTCCTTGTACCCAGGGGATGAAAAAGACCACCGTGAAATAAGGCCGTCAAGGCAGGTGTTGTCGTTAAGCACTCGACATTCGTCCTTATAAGTCCCATATTACAAAATAGGTCATATCATCAGTCATCTCAGATATAGAATCATGGTCAAATGGAATATTAGAGCTAACGCCCGTTGATATCGACTGCCATACAGATGGGTTTAAGCTGGTAGTTTTACATTGAAAACATAGAAACAGAAATATATCAGATCACAACACAAGCTTCCATGCGGAAGTCCGTTAAGAAATAAGGCACAGACAGATGTAAACATATTATCCGAGAGCCGAAAAGATTAAGGTTAAGACAGTCTTAAACTGTAAAAAAGCAATAACAGACTTTTCTTTCAGTAGTAAGCCCTGGGTCATATAAGCACCAGGCCATTTGGTGATTATTATTAAAGAAGAAGCTAACTTACTTGTTATCAAGGGCAGGAAAAGCTTGTTTGTGTCGATGTTCTCGTAATTTGAAGACAGTTTTGAATGGGATCCTATATGAGTA